CAACAGCAACCCCATAACGAACCTCCACATGAAAGCTCCGCCGTCTGTAATCAACCAGTGACACTATCTCCTCCTAACCCTAACCCCGCCGAGCCACTCCCAAATCCGATGATGATTTCATCGATGTCGATGAAAGCTTCACTCCTTCTCCGGTGGTGGACGAGAGCTCTGGCTCTCCGATTGGGGACTTCCTTTCAAGAATGGGACTCAAATTGAGGAGAGAGTGGCTGGATTCCTGCATTCAAGGGCTAGAAAGCTCGGTCCCTAGGTTTTCGGCTCTCGATGTTTCTGCAAAAGCGAAGCTTTGCTTTCAACAATTCTTGCTTTCTGATATGAATTGTTCCGGCGGCGGCATTCTTCCTGAAAACGTTGATTCGATGCACCTTGCTGATCTCAAAGGACCATTTGTCTTGCAGGTTCGGTTGTTTAACTAGTGAAGACTATTCAGAAAATGGATGTGTTGATGTTTCAAATGTCTGTTCATGCCAAATTCTTATGTTTCTAGGTTGATGAGATAGTAAATATCAGTTGTCCTCTCAAGGAAAGGTATCAGGATACGCCTTCTGGGATCAAGAGGTGCCTTAAGTTATCCATTACAGATGGTGTTCAACGCATATTTGGAATGGAATACAGGCCTATCAAAGATCTCCAAGTTTTGGCTCCGGCTGGATTGAAGGTTCTTCTCTGCTGCTATTACTGATTTTTGTATGGTATTAATGATAGGGAATGCTAGTTTTAGTATTGACGGTTTTATCATTTAACTTAAAATCAATTGGTACTAGGTTGAGGGGCTTAACTTTAATATTAGACCAGTAGAATTATGCCACTTAACACGCGAGGAATCTCTTGGCATGTGGACAACCTCACCATGGGTTGTAACTCCTCTCACGGGGTTAGGTGGGAAACACAACATAACAAAACCTTGGCTTTGATACTATGTTAAGCATCTAACCTAAAACCAAGTGGTAGTAGGTGGAGAGGCTCAACTTTAACTTAAGACCGCAACTCTATTACTTAAGAGATGTGGGATAACGCCACTTGACAAGATAAATCAATGGGTTTATAATTCTTGTTCATAATATGCTAAGAGAGAGTGCATTTCATAAGGGCAACCAGTGGTAGCATGATCTTCCTTGGATTTGAAGGCATGAATTTGAATCAATGGCACCTTGACAGATTTTGGCCGATTATTCTCTGCATTTTTGACTGATCGATTTGGTCATACATGGACTTTGTAATATCTCTTCTTATTTATTCACAGGGTGTTGGTGTGTGACGTTGGATATAAATTGTTTATCTGGCTACTTGAAGACAAGCTATGTTGTCTTATCAATTCATGTAAAGAAAATACTACCTCTACTTCATAAATTGTAAATGATTCATCAAAATCCCATTTTCGAAGAATGAGTTTATTTTACATTGTTCAGTAATGTTTTATCTTGATATGTATGGCTAGGCCTACCTTAATTTTTCAGTCAGATGATTCTTTACAGTTTCTTGCAATGAGTTACTGTCTGAACTGGTTATTTTGTTGGGCAGTGTCACTTGATCCTTTTACTGCTGGTACAACACCTAGATTATCCCTTAGACCCTTATTTCCCCTAGGTTGGACAGATGCACATTTATTCATGGCAACCAAAGTTTAAAACCTTTAGTTCAATTAGTCGCCAAAGCTTTGATGTAGTTTGTTTATATTTTTTATTCTGTAGGTTGCCATCTGTAATGCATGTACGGCGTGGGCTTCTTATGCTGGTCCCTGAAAGTTTAGAAATTCTAGGAGGAGTGGTTGAGGACCTAGTAGCTGCACGACAGCGTCTTGTTGCTGAAGTCAACAAGCCACCTAGGGGTGAAAGGTATTATTAAATTTCCAAGTGTATCTACTATTTCTTTTCACATACATTACCAAACCTTATAGACAAGTAATGTCACCTTCCCCCCTCACAAATTATCAGTTTAACATACTTTGTAGTTTCACTTTTGTTTTCATGTTATCAATAGCTAAAATCAAATAACATTGCCTTTAAAGGCTGTACAATTAGGCTGAGTCTCTAGTTTAGAATTGTGTGTTAGCAGCCTCCTAGACGGATAAATTGTATCGACTGTAATACTTGTGATGCTTGTAATTTTACAATGTTCGTATGAATGAAAAAATTGAATTAAACCAGAATGTCCTTTAAGGAGTGGAAAAAATATGTAGTTTAGTTCTACTATTATCAGGACATGCTGATTAGAGCTGTTCCATTGTCATCCTTGTTGAGTGATTTCTCTTAAACCGTTTTGGAACTTGGAATGATCTTACAGATTATGTATGAATCATTTAATGAGGACCGGAAATTCACTTGAATCAAGAATCTTTCATCGTTGTGAATAATTCTCTCTCTATTTTATGCAGAACAAAGACAGGAGTGGTTCCTCCTTTAGCAACTAGAGCAACTCTTGCTGCATGGCCGCTGAATGGTGTTAACTTTGTTGAACCTACTAACAATTTAATATATCAAAATTCGGCTCCTTTTTGGACAGATGAAAGAGGTTGTTTATTATTTGTTTGTTTTTGAAATCAAATGCAAGGGCTTGACTTTCCAAGGAAAAAATGAGTGCACAAAAAGGATAAAAACGGTTGCATGCTGTATGTGTTTGTTATAAATGTAATTTTCAAGGGAGATATTGATTAATGCCTTTTTTAAGTATATTGATTGTGATTTTGAGATGTCTCATAGAACAGAAAAGGAGATGACAGGCAGGTTAGATCTATGCACTCTTAAGAGTTTAGAATGCTTTCTTTCTGCCCGCTCTTTGACAATGGCAGGCAGGTTAGATGTAGGCACTCTTAAGAGTTTAGACAAACCTTTAGTATTTCACTTGAGTTCCAGAATTGGAGGTTGACATTTTTGTTCAAGAAATGAAAGAATTCTTCTGCTTGGGCTTTCCTTAAGTATTTTTAGCTGGTGATACATTGAAGATTTTCCCTTAACTATTTCATCATTTATCTTCAATTGTGTGCTATGCTTCCTGAATTAGTATTAAAGAAATTTGAGGGCATTTGAAGTTTTATAAGGCTACTTGGCAAATTGAGAGCGTATAAATGATTGTATGTCCATCCCTTTTTGCCTATATCCATATATTGTAGGTGTTACTTTTGTTTAATCTAGCACTATTACTACTCAAAGAACTGTTGAGGATCCCACCACTCGTACGCGTGTAGTGAATGCTGTGCCTAATTCATCATCCGATGTTGCTGAGGATGTTGAGAGGATGCATTTTGATAGTGTTCCCATTAGCAGGGAAAATGCTATGTCAAACTCGAACTCGAATATTGCTCCAGATAATGAGAACATCCATGTGGTTGAACATTCTTTCATGCTTTCCGGAGACCAAGAAGTTCCCTTTACCTATTTAGCTAGTTTGTCAGCCAGGTGGACTGATATTAAAGATAAAGCTACACATGTACAGGGAAAGATTAAGGTATCCATAGTTCCCTATTTTTTTTATATTGTTTTAATCTTTGCTGACTTACATTTTAGCTCTCAAAATTCGCCTAGAATTATTGAAGCGGATAACACAAAATTAGTTGAGAATTCCTTCCATCATATATTTAGTTGGTTTCCACTATCTGATCTTTTTTGAAGTTTTTCGCAATTTTATGACATTTTTTTGTAGTGCTTCTTGACTGGTGTCAGGGGATTCCAGTATGAACTTCTATGTTATGTTGATTATGGCAGCCTCATCTGTGAGATCCTCATTGATCACAATGTTAGTTCAGATGAATGCATCTCTTAAAGCCTCATCTCTTTCTATCAATATGGACTTATCGATTTGCATCCATCCCCAATATTCTCTCCCTCGAAACCTGTTACTTAGGGCTTATGGCTTTTTACCAACAATGCTATGAGCTTATTGCAACTTGAGAACTTAATCCCTTTGTATTTCTGAGTTCAGGTTGTGCAGAGTGGAATAGGCCGTTCTCCACAAGAGGTCACTGCTGCCCTTCCTTCTTCAGACAAACAAATAGTCAAAGGTATGAAGGAGAACATGAGGCAGTTTCAGGCATTTTTGGCACATTTTGAGGTAAAGCCTGTCAAAACTTGAACTATTTATCAATTATGAGACTCTTTCACGAGTTCCAACTAGGTTTCATGGTGGACTGTAGTCTTGTTGTGAAGGTGCGCCCTAGGTGGTTGAATGTAGATTCCTTATATTGCATTACGCACAAGGCGCAAATAACTGTCGGTATGTCCCAAAATAGTTCACCACTGTCTTTAACCTATTCTATCACCTTTATCCATCATCTCTTCTGTTAATCTCAAACAGTTTATATAACATTTTGTATATTCTATAATATATATTAGGTTGAATATATACAATAAACTCTAAAGTCTGGTTTTGATAAAAAAAAAAAAAAGCTCTAAAGCGTGGTCTAGTTTATCCAGATTACTTGGATATATGATTTCCATGTGGTCCATTTCTATTGTTGAATACTCAAATATTGAAAAGTATAAAGTTTGAGATTATCCCTTCCATACTAATATTTATCTAACTTAAGAAGGTCTGCGACTCTGCGCCGCTTTTGTTTACAAGGGCATGACTCCCTGTAAATGCTGAAATGGTGTTTAATGTTAAGACTTGTCTTGTATGGTTGGTTTATTTTTTCACTTGCAAAATTTTCTTTTGTAGGGAATGATGCTTCTTGAGATAAACAGAACATCTTCTCTTCCAATTGCCAAGGAGATGATCCAGGGCTGTCCTGCATCTGATGCATGGTTGTTTCTTAGAAGATTGAACCCTTCTTCTTGTTGAACTCCGGAGCACTGGCTATCGGATCCAATCGAGATATCCCATTAATTGGCTAAGATTTCTTCTTCTCATCACTTAGATTTCAGTAAAAAGAAAGAGAAACAAACTTTACTGCTACTTTCTGCCATATATGTCAAAACCTATGAACTTGCACTCTAAGATTGATGAGGTTCCTTAACTCTCTTATTTCTCTCTCTTTATGTATATATTCATTTTGATGGGGTTAAGAAAGCCTCAAGCGAGAAGAGTTGTTTGATTCCAGTTGCTACATGCAGTAGCTTCTTGCTAGGTGCATCCCTAGAAGAAGAACCGGCTCCTGCCATTAACATGACCCCGTTCCACCAATCCATCATCTCCGGAAAAAACACCCTCCACAGTACTGTGGTGTGCATCCATGATGGAACCGTCAAGTACTTGTCCCCACGGCATGCGCTTTCAACTATCGCCTTGGCGCACCTCTCTGCCGTCTCTACAGGCATCACATTCACTTGAACCTGTCAACAACAATTCATAAAAGTTTATTACATTCCACACAAACTTATTTTGAGAAGAGAAAAGCTTTGCTTACGTCTCTCATTTCTCGGTCGACTTCCAATGTGCCTTCCTTCGATAAGCATTTGCCTTCGGTCATCTCTGTGTCTATGAATCCAGGAGTCACGATTGTGATCCCGATTTGGGTACCTAATTCAATCCTCATTGCCTCGTAAAAGCTAATCAGTGCTGCTTTACTTGCACTATAGAAGCCGGTTCTCGGTGCGAATACCCAACTGGAACATGATGATATCACTATGATCTTCCCTTTGCTCTTCCTCAGATGTTGCAGAGCAAAATAAGTGCTGTATGCTGAACCCCAGAAGTTTATGTCCTATGAATACAAAATTCACTCATTGAGCCACCTTGTGATTTATGCTACTTGGATTATTCAAGTGAAAATGTCGAAATACATATATGATACATGAAATAAACATATTCTAATTGGATGTATTTGAAATCGTCACGGAATAATGACTAGTAATCAATCACAAATCGATATGTAAAACCCATAGTTTATATGTCTCGTAATACGAGTCATAAGGTCACATCAACTTAATTAATATTTGCTGAATTTAAATGTTTAAAAATTTTGTTTCATTTAATAATATTTTTTTAACTTTGAAAATTTTTTTAGTCACTAGTCAAAATTTAAGGTATTATACTATAAAAGAAAGAACATGAAATTTATTGCTTCACGGAACTTTTCAAGTCAGATCAAACGAAATTCAAATTACTATTTCTAACAGACAAATTGTATCTTTACACCAAGATTTGGGAACTCAAAGTAACATATCATCACCTATCAAACTAAAAATCAAAAGAAGTATAATTCGACCTATCATCAATTCATGTCGAATATTTGAAGCCAAAATGAAAATAAAAGAAATTTGATAGATTGATTACCATAGCTGGTAAAGCTTTAGTGATATCTTCATAGTCCTCAAACAAGCAGACCGGTGCAACCCCAGCATTGGTGACCAAATGATCCACTGTTAGCAACAATCACCACCATTAATTCGAAGAATCCCAAGAGCAAGAGTTTATGAAGAAAATCATCAAATCTGCGCTTACATTGTCCAAAATGATCTACAGTGGCATCAACAAACCGCTTACAGTCTTCAATGTTAGAGACATCTCCAAGGATGTAAACAGTTTCAGGGGAACCAATGATGTCACAAATTTCATTTACTTCTTGGAGACGATGCTTTCTCCTCGCAACGAGGGCTAATCGAGCTCCTCTCCTAGCATACTCGTATGCCAAATGCTTCAAAACTCAAGAAAATAAATACAAGAATTATTAAGAATTTATAAGCAAAAAAATAACCAAAATGAAATCAACAAGGCAATACAATACAAAATATGAGATTTAACGTTGTTCAACAGTTGCATACCTCCGCGTATGAAAAAAATAAACATCAAGATCATTAAAGGTACAAATATATAATATCCTATGTATTTCAAAATTCGATATCTATACTAAAATCTGGTGTATCCCAAGTCATTATCTTAGTATCTGTGATTACAAAAGATGATATCTTTCTAAAATAATTCTCACGTACGAATTTTAATCTTAGTAAATTTAATTACCAAATTGGAGTTAAAATATCTAACAATGTACTACAGCTATGAATCATACATATATACATGCAAGAATTGGGTAAATTCGGACCTCGCCAATGCCTGAAGATGCTCCGGTGATGAGTACAACTTCTCCGGTTACGTTTTCCTTGAATAAGGTTCTTGCGGTGGAGATGAAGGCCTTGAGAGAACGATATTGATGAAGGAAGAAGGGTGCAAGAAGGGATACGGTGACTACGATGACATTCATCAACTTATCCGCCAAATCCATGCTTCTTTGACAAACAAGTTACCAGACACTAAAGCTACTTTTCATGATTGTAGAATAGGACTACTTAATTTCATTGCTCTTGCAGTTGCAACGTAGCGGTTTTGCATGTAGGTGATTCGACACGTAGCTCATTGTCTTTCCTTTTTCGTTTTTTCCCCTTATTTCTTAGAACTTTGTTCGGATTAATATGAAGGTATTTATGTTGCACACTTAGATTTGATAAGTGAATTTTCCGTCAAGATTTTTTGTATATATAATAACTCAAGATTTACTTAAATAATATCAAACTATTTATTACTTAAATCAACTGCCATTATTTTTTATTAGCTCAAAAGAGGGTTTCTTCTTTTAGATCAAGAAAGTTTCAGTAGCCCAAAATACAACCTTTGGGTTTCGAATCATGCCCTACTAGTTTGAGGGTCCTCTATTAAAATCGAGGGCTCTAGTTGGGTCTTACGGCCCAAAAAAATCCTTTTGAACTTAAAATAGATTGTTCGATTACCTAAAATGATCTTTTAAGCATAATTTAAAATTTTAAATGCTAAAATGTCACAAAACTCTAAATTTTAAGAAATGGCCTAAATATTAAATAGTTGGATAAAATGATCCAATTTATTTGAAAACACATATGATAATCTTGTATGACCTATTAAGTGCATACATATTCCTAAAATACCTTTCAAACCTTACAAAATGTAAAATGTCCAAAATATTTTCATATATTATAAAAAGATAAAATATCCTTGAGGCTTAATAAATGAATTTGGAACCTTGAAACTTTAGAAGAATGGATAAAATAAGACTAATTATCAAGATCTTCATATTTGAAAAATAGTTGGACTTAGGGCCTAAACTTTGTAAATTTATCAAAATACCTTTAGTGCTTAATAAATGGATTTTAAGCCTTAAAAACTTTGGCTAAAAGATTAAAATTCTCTTGCTTCTTACTAAGTGGGCTTGAGACCTTAAAATTATAAAATAATTAAAATATCCTTGTGTTAAAATGATTGAATTACCCTTAAATGTGTAAAATCATGACATGACTTAAGACACGTAAGATTTATCATATATCATTTGATACACGTAAGATTTATCGTATATCATTTGTAAGATTTATCATATCAATTATATACGTTACGTTAATGGTGGATCGATTAACAGTTTCCATCTAATTACGAATTATTTTGGATAAATGTTAGGAGTTAAAGTACATAGGTTTTGCTAACTTATTTTCTTGTAGACGATGAAGTGGACGAATTTCTTCTTCCCTTTGCCCTTTGGAGAATTAGCCTTGTGAAGGGTCTTTAGCCCTTTGGAGAATTAGCCTTGTGAAGGGTCTTAGCCCTTTGGAGAATTAGCCTTGTGAAGGGTCTTAGCATCATGTCTCAAAAACCCATGCTTCTTGATTTGCTCTCTCACAAACCTTTTATATGAAAGCTGCTCCCCTAAACTGTGGCAGAACCATCCACGCCATCAACACCAGCTTCACACTGTACCAAATCGGTATCCTACACCATCCAATCCGATTCGATCAAAATTTACAATCCAAAAAGTATAATTACATGTCAAGAGACGAACTTTAAACTTTGAAATATGCAGATAAAGTGTTTTACCACTCCAAGACTGATTGAAGCAGCATCTCGGTTAGAGTAAGCAATGAATATAAAATCCAATAAGCAAGCCACTGTTCATCGTCTTCCTTGCCCGGGGTTTCTATAGCTATCACCGAGGCATATCTGATGCAGGAGAAAGAAAAAGAAAAGACAAATTATTTTCTCAGGAAACAAACATGTAAGTAAATTGATGGTATAGTTGAAAGTTTCTTACAAGGGATACAGCAACATCACCACAGGCCTGCAAACATCAAAAACAAGAAGAATAAAAAGTTAAAAGTCTTTGAACATGAGATTAAGAGGGAAATAGAAAAAGAAAAGAAATACCCTGCTAAAGAATGAAGATTTGAGAGCAGAGTCCAGAAACGACTCATGTTGTTGATTTTCTGGGTTTGGGAATAAGTGTTTTGAAATTTGAATTGGAAGAAGAAGAAGAAGGACAAAAAGCAGTTTACGGTTCGTTGATATCAAAGACAATGTTGGAAGACAAGGACGGACGGGGCTCTGTGAACTCACAAACATATATATGCCCAACTGACCGGGTTCGGCTTACTCCTGACAATGGGTGGTCACATTTTGATCAAAGAAGAGGGTGAAATACACTTTTAATGCTTAAACTATTACTTTTATTTTGTTTTAGTATCTAAATTTTATTTTGTTTCCAAATCATACCTAATGATTAGCTTAGGTTTCAATTTTGTACCCGCCATTAAAAAAATTAAAAAAAATGTTGATGTGGCATTATTTCAATGTTGATGTTGTATTACCTTATGGTGAGACATCAACATAACTGTTAATTTTTTAACGACGGGATATTAAAATGAAATTTAAACTAAATATTACGAATGATTTTAAAATAAAATAAAGTTTAGGCATCAAAATGGAATAAAAGTAATAGTTAGATAATAAACATGTAGTTTTTCCAAAAAATAGAATTAGGTTATTAGATTTAAATAATAAAATATTCTTAAATATCTATTAATTTCATTAACTTTTATGATCATAAACCTATATGGTTATTATATAATAATTTGATAAGCTTAATAATTATTTTATAATTTCTAGAAATTAGATGTACAAATATTTGAATATAATTTAAGAATTTCTAAAATTCTTTACCATAAATAAGCTGAGATGGAGATTGGAGATGAGTAAAATAGAGGCTAGGTTGAGACAGGTTACTAGGGTTTCAAAAAACTAATTTGGCTTTATGCCAGGCAGGTTTACTACGGAGGCGATTCATCTACTTCGACGACTTATGGAGAAATATAGGGGAAAATAGTGATCTTCACATGGCGTTCATTGACCTTGAGAAGGCGTATGATAGCGTTCCCCGCGATACGATCTGGAAGACCTTGGAAACGAGACGGATCCCAACTGCTTATATCCGGGTGATTCGTGATATGTACTGTAGATCTACTACTACCGTCAGGACTACAGTTGGCGACACCAAGGCATTCCCGGTGGAAATCGGACTCCACCAGGGGTCGGCTCTTAGCCCTTACATCTTCGCCTTGATTATGGACGACATCTATTGGGCGACACCAGACGATGTTCCATGGTGTATGCTTTTCGCTGACGACATTGTCCTAATTGCTTAAACAAAAACTGAGTTGAATAGTAGACTTGCTACCTGGAAGACTGCTTTGAAAGAAAAATGTCTAAGGATCAATATTGAAAAGACAAATTATGTATGTTCTAACTTCAGTGGAAACCAAAACGACGAAGATGTAGAAGTATGCATAGAAGGACACATTATCCCCTCAAATGATTGTTTCAAGTACCTAGGGTCTATGATACATAAAGATGGGGTGTAGATGAAGACGTTACACACCGTATAAAGGCGGGATGGCTAAAGTGGAGGGCTGCTACTGGAGTTTTGTGTGACAAGAAGGTGCCTCTAAAACTAAAGGGAAAATTTTATAGAATGGCAATAAGACCAGCGCTGCTGTATGGATCAGAATGTTGGGCAATCAAGAAGGATCACGTAAGGAGGATGGAGGCCGCAGAAATGAGAATGCTTCGATGGACATGTGGTAAGACTCTGTGGGACATGACACCTAACTCTGCTATTAGGATGTACTTGGGGGTGGTGCCTGTATCCGAAAAATTGAAGGAGTGAAGACTACGGTGGTTTGGGCATGTCCTTAGGCGACAACCGTCGGATGCGGTCATGAGGGTAGAGTCGATTACAGTCGACGGTGTCAGAAGGAGAGGACGACCAAGACGGAAGTGGGAAGACTGCTTGAGATCTAATTTGAAGGAATTAGCCCTTACCGAGGACATGACCTCCGATAGGAAAGTATGGAGACTTAAGACCAGGGTAGTTGAGTAGTGCGGTTCACAGCCATAGGGTGTAACATCTTTGTCTTCTTTTTAATGTCTTTGTAGTACTTTCCATGACTTCTACTTTATACATGTTTCTGTCATTGAAATGTATGAAGGCTTAGAACTAGGGTATCGGAGTAGTGTTGCCTTAGTTTAAGAATTAACTCATTTGAATTTATTCCTTCTCGTAGCTTGCTATTATTAACTTCTGTGTATCATTTCTATTCATGTTTCCTCTTTTTAAATTTAGCGGGGTCTTACATTTTCAGTCTATATGCAGAGATTTCTATGTAGGGAATTATTTGCAGGGAATTATTTACAGGGATTACTTCCCATTACAGACGCACATATCAAGACTGCATATGAAGACTGTTCATCTATGTATTTATTTATTTATTTATACACGCATTTGCATCTTATCTTTATTTTTAATTTGCTGACTGCCGGAGGTCTTCCACGGAAGCTGCTCTCAACATGGCGTTGGGGTCAGCCTACTACCCTACCTCCCTCTTATCTCATTGCATATAGGAATCAGGGTTTTGTTGTTGTTGTTGTTGTTGTAAAATACTGCTGCTCATGTATAGTTACCAAGTGGCATACAACTAGAGGTTATTGAATTATATTAAAATAATTATTTTATTTATAAATTATTATTGTTTTTATTAAAGTGTTATAAAATAGTTATTATACGAATGATCTCCCGACTATATGCTATTGTTTTACTGAATCAGTCGATTATTAAAAGTTATAAAATGGTTTCTCAAATATTAGATATGACTTTGTTGAATCTCTTAACTATTAAAAATTACAAAATGACCACAAAACTATTTATATATTCTAAACTCATATTTTTTTCGTTTGGTGGTCTTCTGTGCTGGACGTTGATCTATGGACAGGAACATGATAAATGTTTATTCCAAAATCATTTGAGTTGTATTTTGTGGATAGAGTCTTCGTTTATATTATATCGCCTAATCAGTGCTTGAAATATTATGATATTGAGTCAGTGCTTAAAAATAATTTTGATGTCAGTAGACATTATTAAAATATAATTTTATT